ATGAATGAATGAATAAATGAATAAAACTTGACATAATCTATCTTAGGGGATTGAGCTCCTTGAAAAATAGAAATCATTTCTGATTAATCTCTAGGACCTAGCACAAAGTCTGGAATATGCAGACACTCTGTGGATAGTGAATAAATGGATGATTTGTTAATGCTTGTGTTAAGTAGCACAGAAGTGACCCAAGTACACATTTGAGATGCTTCTCTTGGGGAAGAACCATCTGCACTGAATTTCAGAGTTTGAGATGAACTCTAAGACAGGCAGTCTGTTCAGTGGAAAGAACGCTGACATCAGATAATTTTGGCGAAAGCTCAGATCTGAGTTTTAGCACCAGCTTAGTAAGGTACTCACCAAGGTTTTTCACTCTGAAACAGTTATCAACTATCACTGGACCTCAAATTCTTCATCTATAATGTGTGAAAGAAAATATTTAGCTCAAAGGTTATATAAAGACTCATGTTCATATTAAGTACAAACAGTGCCCAGATATGAGACTAAAAAAAAATTATCTCTACCCATTCATTGATCTTAAAAAGTGTTAAACCAGAATCTGCCTTTATAAAAGAATGCAAAATTGTTGAAAAAAACTAAATAGTAGTAAGTTAAAGTAGTCTTACTTTTGGTTTTAGCTAAATAGCTTTTTCTGGTCTTACTCAGAAATGCCCTCAGTAAGAATTCTCAATTCATAGCCAAAGTCATAGCTACTATCACTTAGATTTCTCTAAATAATTCCTACTCAAGCAATCACAGCCAATAGCCAGTAACACATGGATGAATGACACTCTTCATTTCTCCCAAGCCAACTCTGTTTTGAACTGTTTAAATGAAAATAGATTCCTTCTGTTCCTGGGGTTCTTGCAGCAAGACTACTGGAGTGGTTTGCCATTCCCTCCTCCAGGGGACCATGTTTCGTCAGTACTCTCCACTATGACCCATCCGTCTTGGGTGGCCCTGGAGGGCTTGGGTCATAGCTTTGTTAAGTTATGCAAGCCTCATCACTATGAGAAGACAAGCCTGTGATCCGTGAGGGGGGAAATGTTAAGGAGCATCCTTGTGTTAACAGCCAAATATGCTAACCAGTTGTGTCACAGAGACACTTCGAATTGAGGTGCTAAAGGACTGCCAGCATCTGATGGAATTGCCAACACTCATTAGATCAAATTGCCAACATCCCTCGGATCACTGGAGAAGCATGAGAGTTCCAAAAAAAAACATCCACTTCTGCTTTATCGACTATGCCAAAGCCTTTGACTGTGTGGATCACAACAAACAGTGGAAAATTCTGAAAGAGATGGGAATACCAGACCACCTGACCTGCCTCCTGAGGAATCTGTACACAGGTCAAGAAGGAACAATTAAAACTGGACATGGAACAAAAGACTGGTCCCAAATAGGGAAAGGAGCACATCAAGGCTTTATATAGTCATCCTGCTTATTTAACTTCTATGCAGAGTACATCATGCGAAATGCTGGGCTGGATGAAACACAAGCTGGAATCAAGATTGCCGGGAGAAATATCAATAACCTCAGATATGCAGATGATGCCACCCTTATGGCAGAAATTGAAGAAGAACTAAGGAGCCTCTTGATGAAAGTGAAAGAGAAGAGTGAAAAAGCTGGCTTAAAACTCAACTTTCAGAAAACTAAGATCATGGCACCTGGTCCCATCACTTCATGGCAAATAGATGGGGAAATAATGGAAACAGTGAGAGACTTTATTTTCTTGGGCTCCAAAATCACTACAGATGGTGACTGCGCCCATGAAATTAAAAGACCCTTACTCCTTGGAAGAAAAGAGGTGATCAACCTAGACAGCATATTAAAAAGCAGAGACATTATTTTGCTAAAAAAGGTCCATCCAGTCAAAGCTATGGTTTTTCCAGCAATCGTATATAGCAGTCATGTATGGATGTGAGAGTTGGACTATAAAGAAAGCTGAATGCCAAGGAATTGATGTTTTTGAACTGTGGTGTTGGAGAAGACTCTTGAGAGTCCCTTGGACTGCAAGGAGATCCAACCCATCAATCCTAAAGGCAATGAACCCTGAATATTCATTGCAAGGACTGATGCTGAAATTGAAACTCCAATACTTTGGCCACCTGATGCGAAAAGCTGACTCATTTGAAAAGACCCTGATGCTGGGAAAGATGGAAGGCAGGAGGAGAAGGGGATGACAGAGGATGAGACGGTTGGATGGCATCACCAACTTGATTGGCATGAGTTTGAGTAAACTCTGGGAGTTGGTGATGGACAGGGAGGCCTGGAGCGTTGCAGTCTATGGGGTCGCAAAGAGTTGGACATGACTGAACGACTGAACTGAACTGAACTGTATTCTCTGAATTTTTAACTATTATAAAATGTTCATCTTTGTCTTCCCTTCAAGCCCATGTGTTTAGGGACCAACTCTCCAGCACTGAGTGAAGTCACCTATAGTTCCCAAGAAAACCCGGTAAATCCTAATGTTCAGAGATGAAAGAAGAAAATGAGCCCTGAATTCCTTTGTCATTAAAATTCCTTCCTTGTCGACTGAGTTCCTGTGGATTTGAATGAATTATCTAAGAATCAGTGTTAGTGCTTAATTGGAAGATAGAGGAAACCACAAAGAGTCTGAAAAGAAAGGGCAGACGAAACAGAAATGTCTCTAGGCATTGAAAAGTTTGACAGGCGAGAAGAGTTTGTGATTTGAAAAGCAGCTGGAGAACATGAGTCAGCAGGAGATAACTAAAAAAAGTTAAATAATTAAGCTTACATAATAGCTATCTGATTGACTATCTAGATGTGGTTTTAATTAACACTTCTAACCTCTCTTTGTCGGTAACTATATATTATCCAATCTAAAAGTGGAGAACTTTCATTATTACCAAAAATCGTTCATCTACAGAGTGCTGGGGAATTTATTTCCAAATTTAGCAAAGGAGCTACTGTCCTTCCAACTCCCTCCCCTGTCCCCTCCTCTCCACACAAACTCCCTTACAATTAGTTCTGTGAGTGGAAATTGAGGACTTGGCTCCCCCTTTCATCATTTTCCATAGGTAAAGTGAAAGTGTTAGTCCATCAGTCCTATCTGATTCTTTGTGACCTCATGGACTGTAACTTGCAAGGATCCTCTGTCCATGGGATTCTCCAGGTAAGAATACTGAAGAGGGTTGCCATCCCTTCTCCAGGGGATCTTCCCCACCCAGAGATCAACCCAGGTCTCCTGCCCTGCCGACAGATTCTTTACCTGAGTAACTTCTTATCTGAGTCACCAGGGAAACCTTTCTATATGTAAATTGGGATGAAATAATACGGAGAACTAAATTCTTGAGCAAGTTTACTAGACGGGGGCCCTTTCCTGGACAGAGTAGGGGGTGGAGTTGGCCAAGTTTAAGATTTAGTCTTCCCACCTTTGAGGAGCTCTGAGCTATGTTTAAGAAAGATCAATAAATAAATGTTCTTGGTGATAAAGAAAGTAAAAGGTCTGCAAAGGATGACAGATAATTTTCCCAAGTTTGGGGCAGAGTAGTTGGGGAGAAAGGCAAAAGAGATGCCAGGGTTGGTGCTGAAAGCTCGACCTCTGGGCCCCAGTGCTGAATTGAATCTTGTACACAGAGTTTGGCGTGAAGTACAAAAGAATAACTTTATTGCTTTGCCAGGCAAAGCAGATCACAGAGGGGCACAGTGACCCTCAAAACTGCTGCAGTCCTTTAATCTGGTTTCAGATATTCTCTTTGAAACCAGAGACTGACTCTTCACTGCTGTGCACAGACTTTCTCTGACTGTGGGGAGCAGGGGGTCCCCTCTGGTTGTGGTGGGCAGGGTTCTCACTATGGTGACTTCCCTTGCTGCGGAGCATGGGCTCTAGGGCATAGAGTGTCAGTAGTTGTGGCACACAGGCTCAGTAGTTGTGCCTCATGGGCCCTAGAGCTCGGGCTCAATAGTCATGGTGCTCTGAGGCTTAGTTGCATATGGAATCCTCCCTGACCAGGGATTGAATCCATGTCCCCTGAATTGGCAGGCAGACTCTAAACCTCTGGACCACCAGGGAAATCTAGGTCTCAGTCTTTTGATGAGCTTCTCTGGTTCCTTTAATCTGGCCTTAGATAGTCTCCTCTGAAATGATGAATGCTAACATCTTCCATTTGTAGAAGATTCAAGTACTGTGAAGAGTGCAAAGGTATTGTAACATGTATCCTTTGAGGTAGAACCAGGACTCTCTCCCAAGGCTGCACATTTGTTTCTTGGCTGCTACCCCTTAGTCTCTACATCCCCTCCCTTCCCTAATTAACAACTGTTGAAAGGGCTTCCATACCGAGGAGCCCCACTGGATTCATCTGGGTTTCAAGGTTGAGTCCTGAGGACTCTGCAGAAAGGGTACCATGCAGCATGAGAGAAGTATAAAGTTATGTTACTCCAAAGCTAAGTTCAAATCCTGCCCCAGGATACAATTTTAATGCACAAACTATGTTAGAAAGGATAGCTATGAGCAAAAAAATGTTAGAGGGAAAATAAAATATAAACCTAAATGATAGTGAAGAGAGAAACTTCTAAAAGCCTTCTGCCTGAAGTGGGAGCAGGGGTGCAGGATATTAACCTTGACTGGGACCTTGAGGGTTGGATAGAATTTTAAAGTGAGAAAAAGTAGAGTTTGGAGGGCAATGATAAAAAAGTTTAGTTTTGCTTGGGCCAGGGTATGGGAAGAGATAAGCTAAGCCTGAGGGCAGAAGACCTTGAATACTAAGCCAAGGAATTTGTATTTTGCTTGTTGAATTTTTACAATGCTGCATCAAGCGTGTACCATAAGTCAGTACACCCAAATACAAAGGTATGTTTTTATTTTCCTTATCCAAGGAACCCATAGTAAGAGCTTTAGATCTATTGCCCTCTGTTTAAGTAAGCAGACACACTTTCTAACCTCTGCCTATACTTTTTCTCAATATAATTGCAAATAGTGACTCCTTTCCCTCTCAAAAAATGGATTGAATGATAAATTACTTGGACATCCTACTTACCTGCTACAATTTGCACTTAGCCCCATCTGGAAATGTAATGGAAATGTAATTCATTAAGTCTTTGGCAGGTGGAAATTTGCAGCTCTCTCTGCCGTTTTCTCTTTGCTTGTGTCGACTTAAAAAGTATTCACAACCTAAAAGTTGAGAGTTATGTTTTATTCAGTGGGAATTTTTAGGACTTTGAGCCCCGGAAACAGCATCTCAAGTGACCCCAAGAGAACTGCTCTAAGGAGGCGAGAGGAAGAGCCAGGTTATACAGAGGTTTTGCAACAAAGGGCAGGTAGAGTTTTTGTAAATTAAAGAAAACCAGATATCCCAAGTTAAGGAATTTTGCACTTCTTTGTGTGTGTGAAAAAGTGAAAGTGTTAGTCGCCCAGTCATGTCCAACTGTTTGCAACCCCATGGACTCTGTAACCTGCCAGGCTCCTCTGTCCATGGAATTCTCCAGGCAAGAATACTGGAGTGGGTAGCCACCCCAGGGGATCTTCCTGACCCAGGGATCAAACCTAGGTCACCTGCATTGCAGCTAGATTCTTTACCATCTGAGCCACAAGGGAAGCCTGTGTATGGAGAGTCTGAGCTCACTGAAATCATTCCTTTGATATTCATCTCAGTTCTCTGAGGCCAGTATCCTGTTTTCACATCCGGAGTTCCTCAGGACTCACCACTCCCTCATGGAGGGCTGAAGTCACTGATGTCTGTTTACTGAAGTGGCAGGAAATAGTCCCATTCCTCACTGGCTTTCAGGTTAGACTGGTTTGTCTTGATGCCACCCTGCTGCCTTCTTTCCTTCAGGTTTAACATCTGACCAGCTTTCTTCCTTGGGCTTTAGACCCAATTGTCCTGGAAAAGACTCCTTTGACAAGCAAAGATTACTCAGTGGACCTCAGTCCTAGCTGTGCGTTTGGGATTAAATGTCCAAACAGGCAGGCTAAGTACTAATCAGGCTAATTGCACACAAGGAAATTTTTCTAAAAACAATCTGATTTTTGGTGGTTTTTATAAAATATTCATCCCATCAACCCACTCGAATTCATTAATATTTTACAGCTTCATTTTTGGTTTTTGTTTTAATTTCAGATGAGGCCATGATAGCCTTCACCATGCATAACGCCTCTAAAAGTCTCCACTTCCCCTTGCCCTAGCCCATCCTCAGTGCTCTTGATCCCCTGTATCCAGGGTGCGACCTGGACTGGTCCTGGCATTCGACACTAAATGGGTAAAGCAAGCAAAGATCAGTGAGGCCAAAGGAATACTAAATCCCTCCCTGGGAATAGTTGGACCTGGGGGGTGTTTGTAAGCTTGCTCAGGGCCAGAAGAGGTGAGGTTTGATAGAGTTGTAAGTAAGAGCTGGTGTTCCAAATGGGGAACAGAATGAAGGCACCGCCTGCTTTGGGAATCAGGATTTCTCTGGCAAAGGATTCCATATCCTACCTTGGTCTTACCCTCTCTCCTCCTGCAGGAACCAGGTAGAGTCCTGGTCCTCAGCCCACACCTTTCCTTTCTGTGAGTGTAAGACCCTTTTGTCTTCGCTTCTGTGGGTTTTCTTAGAGGACGAGGCCCTTCTGTTAGGGGAAGCACACTGACTGAAACCGCCCACCCTGGCCAGGCCCTTTAGTAACCGTTCGCACGAGTGGTTTTATGACAGGAGATCCTTGTAAGGAAAACGGAACTAATAAGCCACCACCAACCGGTTCGGGAAAGGTCAAAAGGAGACACCGCGTGTCCCTCCACTTCCCAGAATCCCTCTCGCTAGCATCCATCTTGGTTGAGCGATGCGTGCACCACCAGGGAAGACTCTGAATTAGAATGATTCGCCAAAGACAACCCGGAAACTAATCCCATCACCATAAAACCCGGGACAGCGAGCCACGCAGCAGAGCAGTTCTCCTGGGTTCCCTCATCCTACTGTTCTACACCCGGGTGCCCTTTCCCAATAAAATCTCTTGCTGTGTCAGCACATGTGTCTCCTCGGACAATTCATTTCCGAGTGTTAAACAAGAGCCCAGTTTCGGGCCCTGGAAGGGGTTCCCCCCTCCTGCAACACCTCCACCATAAATACTCAGTACTGTCACCAGCATTGGCGCACTTTGACTTTGGTTTTATCTCTTCCAGCTTCTCCTCTTTACCAAGGAAATTGAAGGAGAGGAGATATTGTCATTCACCATATGCTGGAATTTGTAGCCTTTATACTAGACACTTTACATCACTACCAATATTTAATTCTTATAAACAAATAACATCTAGAAGGTGATAGCAATGATCTCTTATTTTAGATGAGAAACTGAGGCTTCACGTGTTTTTCAGAAATTGCTCAAAGACCGATGAGAGTGGGATTCCAATGGCAGCTCTTTCTAATATAATGTGCTGACTCCTAGTGCTGTTCTGGAAGGTGCTGGAAGGTGCTACTGGAAACAAAAATGTTAAATTATAATTGATTCCTGCCCTCCCAGGAAATGATTGTCCAGTGAGGCAGGCAAACACACAGAAATCCACCACAACTGGAGTAGGGTACCAGGAGAATAGACTGCATAATCTGTCAGAATTCAACTCCAATATCCCATTTCCTGAGAGCCACTCCAAAAAGATTCTAATCAAAGAACTATTATGTGTCTTATGCTTAAGTGCTCTATACTCTAATCAGACCACATATTTTAGCATTTTAATGCACTAGTAGAAAATAGTATTAGATGTAACATTAACAGGCTATGTTCTCATTCACTATATGTTTATTCAAGGAGTAATCCCTGAATGTGTACTAAATTCTAGCTTCCTCCCTAGGTGTCAAGAATATAAATGCAAATACCATGTCAGTCTTGACCTCCAGGGTCTTAGAATTGGTTTAATGACTTTGTAAGGGCAGATTGCACAATTCTAACCAGCTGTAATCCTTCATCGGGGCTTCCCTGCTGACTTGGGGGTAAAGAATCCACCTGCCAATGAAGGAGATATGTGGTTCGATCCCTGGATTGGGAAGATCCCCTGGAGAAGGAAATGGCAACTCACTCCAGTATTCTTGCCTGGAGAATTCCATGGAGAGAGGAGCCTGGAGGGCTACAGTCCATGGGGCCACAAAGAGCCAGACAGGACTTAACATCTAAACAATAACAAATCCTGTTTCAGGGGGCACTGGGCTGCATTTCTTAACTAGCTCACAGAATTCTCACTTTGCCAGGCATGTGGACGGTATGCAGAGAGTTCTTACCAATTGGGAATAACACTCCATTGCTGGATTAATTCAGAATAAAGTTGGAGGGAATCACCCTGTTGTCTGAAACATAACCACTGACGGGACTTTTCTTGGTATGCATTTGGGTAGGAAAGTGTTAGCCAAAAAATCAGATGATGAATTTCATCTGCTGTAACCAGGGTCTCCCTGAACGATGCATCACCCCTCACCACTCTCTCGCTGCTTCCCTTCCTGGCTTATGTGATAGAATAGAACACAGTTTTCTGTGGAGCTTGCAGTTGGCTATCTGCATCTGAGTCCCAGTTTTGCCACCAAGCAACAAGTTGCTTTATCTCTGTGAACCTCACTTAGCATCTTCATCTATGGAATGGAAGTGAACATAATCCTACAGCAATCCCCTTGCTTGGGACCATTAAAAAGTTAATTAAAAGGCTAGCCACCAATCTTGGACTTCCCTGGTGTTTCAGTGGTCAAGAATCCTCCTGCCAGTGCAGAGGACATGGGTTCGATCGATCCCTGGTCTGGGAAGATTCCACATGCGGTGGAGCAACTAAGCCTGTATGTCACAACTACTGAGCCTGCAGCTGCAATTACTGAAGCCCTTGTGCCTAGAATCTGTGTTCCACAACAAGAGAAGTCACCACACAATGAGAAGACCTCACACCCTGATGAAAAGCAGCCCCTGCTCTCCGGAACCCACTCCCAGCAGCAAAGACCCAGCACAGCCAAAAAATCCGGAAGTGCTAGCTACCAGTCGGAATATCACCTTTTCCATACAGTTTCTTTTTATTCCTGCTCTCCTCATGCCATGGGCTCACACAATTCTGAGGGTGACTTTCAATCAAAGAAGGGCATTGGGGTCTTAGGTTACTAAGCAGAGTTGAAACAAGTTGCTTTTGAGGTTTCGGTTTCTAAAATTTGGTACAAAGAGCCTCACCTTGGGGCAATACAGTAGCCTCATTTTTTATTTTCTCTTTAGTGAGCTCTTTGAGGGCACGAGTAGCCTTTATCTTGTTTACTTTCCATTCTCAGAACACCTCTAGTGCCAACTGAGACTCAGTAAATGATGGCTGATTATTAAATATATATTTGGGGGAACCTCAAAGATAGTATGATTTTTTGTACCAAAAAGCTTATTATTGAATCCACTTTATGTAAGATTCATGTTTCTTCAACCTCCTTGGTTTTTTTTTTACTCTAATTTCTTTTTTGATTGAAATGACTATTCTTGCTTGGAGAATCCCATGGACAGAGGAGCTTAGCAGGGTACAGTCCATAGGGTCCCAAAGAGCCAGACACAACTGAAGCAACTTAGCACATGCAGTTAATTTACAATGTTGTATTAGTTTCAGGTCGATTGATTCAGTTATACACATAAGGCTCTCTTTGTACAGTCAATATTTTCTCCACAGGAGTCCATTTTTACTTAATTGAAGTTTCTTCCCTTTCCCCTTCTTTTAAGTGAAGTTATAAAAAAAACGGATGGATACGTGCATCCATAACTGCATACCAACAACATAAAGCAATGATGCAACCCTAAGTGGGCAGAGTGGTAACTAGGAACGCAGGTCCTATTACTTCATCTGGATTCAAGTCCTGATTCTGTAGTTGGGTGACTGTGCAGGTTAATTCACCTCTCTGAGTCTTGGTTCCCTCCTTCTCTATAAAATAGAAATAGCAACACACACACAAAAGAAATAATATAAATAATTAAAATGGCACCTACCCTTTGGAAGGCAGTTGAGGATGACAGTGTGAAAGTCGCTATCCAGCCTGTCCAGCAGCATCTGGCCTGTGGCTAGTGCTTTCCAAACTGTTACACTGACAGCATCTCCCAAACACAGGAGACAAGAAACCTCAGTCTCTGAAAGTCTTGAAACCCTGGATCAAGACCTATCAGGTCACCTGCTTTTGATGGGCACAGGCTGTGCCCAGTAGATGTTGCTTACTGAAACAATGTTCTTGGAGACCTTCAAAGTCAGCATGTCTGAATATGAACCCATAACTCTTAGAGGCCCTCTCTTGATCATCATCGTCACGTAGGTCACCCATGTTAGGAGCCTGTGAAGCTTCCTGGCCTCCTTCCTCATGCTCTAAGCCACATTATTATCAAGGGCTGTCAAATTGCCCTTTTTACAACACCTAGTACTCAGCACCAGCTTTTAACTCCCCCTGCCTGACAGCCTTCCTAATCCTTCACGTTGGTGGCTGGTCCATCTCCAAAACTCTGATTGGGATCCATTAGAAAGCCGATCCTTCCCACACACAGCCGTGGAAAGAGTCATTCTCACAAACCAATAGGAAAACGCCCCACTTTGCAAGTCCTTCTTTGACCCCTGCTGGCTCCAGGAAAAAGGTCACACTCCATCCCAGTGTGGGAACCTCCTGGCCTCACCAGCCTGCCTCCTCCCAACCTTTGCTCCAGCACCCAAAGGATACCGCTGTGCTTGTAACTTACTGCACAGTCCTCTGCCTGAATGCCCTTCCTCTTTGGTCTTCCTAACAGAGCCCCACTTTTTCGTGTGAAGGTTCTTTCGACTCTCACCTGCTCTGTGACTCTTCCCTAGGCTTGAGACTCTGATCCTGTCTCTCTTACCTCTAGTATTTAGGCATATCTCCCTTTGCTACCATAATTCCCCGAGCTGCAGCCCTTATCACCCAGTATGGTTACTGTGGATGGTCTTTCGGTCTCCCTGGTTACACTGTGAAACACACAGTAATTGCCAGCATAGGGGCATCATTCACCAAAGTCATACCATCCAGAATAAGGTTTAGAACAAAACAAATCATCAAAAAATACTTAATAAATGAATGAGTGATTGCTGAATTAATCAAGTGTGAAGGTAAGGAATTAGAGGGCATACAGGAAACAGTCTGCTTAGGATGCTGTTAACCCAGAAGACTGTGGGGGTGGCTCCCTCACCCCCTGAAAGTCCTAGCACAAATGTCATCTTCTTAGCAAGGTGGTCACTGATTGCTGAATTTAAACCCCCTCACCCTGCACTCCCCAGCCCCCTTTCCTCCTGCTTTTCTCTAAAGCCCTTGTCATCATGGAAAAGTGAAAATGAAAGTGTTAGTTGCTCAGTCATGTCCAACTCCTTGCGACTCCTAGCTCACCAGGCTGCTCTGTCCCTGGGATTCTCCAGGCAAGGATACTGGAGTGGGTAGCCACTCCCTTCTCCAGGGGATCTTACCGATGCAGGCATCGAGCCCAGGTCTCCCGCATGGCAGGCAGACTCTACCTTCTGAGCCAGCAGGGATGGAACATAGCATGTGTTGTAGTCTTTCATTTCTTTCTTTCTTTGTCCCCTGACTAGAATGCAAGCCTTACAGAGGCAGGGATTTTGCTCGCTTTGCCCAGAACAATGTCTGATATACTTCAGGTACTCAGGGCACGTTATATTGAAAATGAATGAATGAATGTCAGGCATTCGTGACTTTTGT